GACTGTGGGCCGTCGCGATACGCCATGTGGCGTGAGATCCGCCGCTCTGACGGGAGCGAGATCGTCAGACAACTCGAGGCTCTGTTTTTGGAGCGAGGAGCACCGGCCGAGCTTCTAATGGATAATGCGACCGAATTCAAGGGTCGAGAGCTGAACGCGTTCGCGGTGCGGTGGGACGTCGAGCTGAGGTATCGCGCGGCCTATGAACCTGGTGGGAATGGCATCATCGAGCGCCACCACCGCACCATCAAAGTGATGGCCGCCCGTCAGGGATGCACCGTACCAGAAGCCGTGCACCGATATAATGTCACGCCCAAGGACGGGCGTGATATTACCACGGCCCCGATACATGGTGCCTACCGTCAGGCTGGCAGAGACTTGTGCGTGCAGTCACAGGGAAACACAGCTGCTCCTCCTCAGACGGCCGGCCAGCCTGGTGTGTATCAGCCCGGTGATGCGGTGTGGGTCCGAAAACGGGGCGATCGGTGCACCGCCGTGTCAAAGGAGGGCACTGTCACCAAAGTCGTATCCGCTCAGACGATTGAAGTGGATGGAGTCCCATGGCACGTGCGGAACATTCGTCATCGTCTTGCCAACAACGGTGACGACGCAATGGCTGCTTCGACGGATGATGAGCAGGAAGAGGAGATCGCCTGTCCGGTTCCGACCGCCCATGTGCCTGGACAGCTGGCCATTGAGGCGCCGGCGGCGGTGGAGCCGTCAGAGCTGACCCCAGCTGTCGCGCCGACCGAGCAGACCGAGCCGGTCCCTCGAGCAGCAGCTGAGGCGGATGGCGGTGCCGGAACAGAGGAGCGGATCCATACAGTGAAAGTTGTAAAAACAGAAACTGAGGGATTGTCAAACGACCGTGTGAACGAAGGTAGAGCGCCAGCGGAAAGTGTAGATAATATCGATAGTTATAGTGACGTGCTAAGAAGGGGTTTGCGCTGCAGGCGTGCGCCGCAACTCTTCGGCGCTCCCATCCCCCATTAGTTAACCCGCGCCCCACTGGGGGGGGGCTATTTATAGCCCCCCCTCCCGTTTTTCTGCAATAACTTCCAAACCGCTTGACGAATCGACGCCAAACTTTCAGTACCTTCGGCTGCATCAATTTGACACCTTGTGTCAAAATTTGAACTTCGTAGCTACCATAGTTCGGCTGGAAATGACGTCAGAGTGACGTCATGTTCGTCCGATTTCGACGCAAAACATTGAACCACGGCAATCGCTCCCAAGAGCTCAGTTTTTAAGCTAGATCCAATTTCTTTGCATGAAAGATCTCAGAATTGACCGCGCTATCAAACTGCTATCTCGGATTTTCAAAATTTTGAAAATTTCGAAAATTTTATATAATAATATTCAAAATTTATATTTTTATATTTTTTTTTCAAAAAGCTTTTGATTTTTCGAAAAAACTGGAATATATGTGACAGACCGCATGATTATGACTAACTCTAGCAAGTTTTAGCTAAATATCTTCAAAAATGGCCAAGTTATACGCATTATTGCAAAAAATTCACAATTATTAATTTTTCAAATCAATTTTTCAGTACGTATTTGGCATCGTACACCAATATAAATGGCACCATCGTGTTCCTGAGCTCAAACTGCATCCAATAGACACCTTTTTTGTTGACAAATTTCAACTTCAAAATTTCACCTTTTTTGACCTGAAAGTGACCTGACCTAAGCTAATTTAGACTCAAAATGACCTTGAATGACACAGACGACATCAAATTCGAAATCTATGGCCTAAATGGACCATAAAACATGTGTCACGTGACCGACGCATGATATAATATTTTCGTGACCTGTGATGACCTGACCCTGACCTGAAAATCAAAGTACAAGTTTGGTACCCTCAAGGTAACTAGAGCATCTGTTCACGAGTGTGGAAACCAAAAATGAGCCCGATCTGACTTGTAAGACGGCGGCCAGAGCCCAAAATGTGAACAAGCCAAAGTGCTAATAATTTTTAATTTGACCTGACCTGTGACGTCATCGGTGACCTCGAGGTCAATGAAATTAGGTTTCGTTCGACAGTTTTTCCGGGGCTATCAGACGCCGTTTGAATTTTGACGATCGGCCCAGTAGTTTCGGAGTTAGGAGGGGGGGCTATGAATAGCCCCCCCCCCCCCAGTAGGGCGTGTAATACACAGACCCCAGTGGGGCGCGGGTTAAACTGTAGTTAGATGTGTTCTTTAGGAACAGGGGGGAATGTGTCTCTCTGTTTGTTCACATAGTTTGTATTCTAGCCTTGTCGCGTAGGGTCGGCGTCGGGTCATAAGTGGTCATAAATGGAGGTCTATGGCCACACATGTGCGCGGCAGCAGGGACACGCCGGCCCGTATATCGGGCGGCCCGGCTGGACATTGGGAGACGGGCGGGCAGTGGAGAGCAGGGCGGGAGAGAGAGAGGACGGTTCGGTGTGCGCGTTGAGATGTCTGAAGGGTGAAGAAATACAGTCTACGATAGACGCAAAGTTTGAATGCCACAATTGGGAAAAGTTTTGGATTTTTTTTTAGTTTTTCTAAGAAAATGAATTTTTTATTTTTTTTTTCAAAAACCCAAAATTTTGAAAATCCGAGATAGCAGTTTTGTAGCGCCGCTTTTTGTCTACTAGACCATATAAAGAACTTTGAAATTACTTGATAACTGTAGATTTGGTGAGCGTTTAAAGATTGCATGTTTTTTGCTCATTTTTGCTCGAACATGACCTCAGTTTGACCTCAATAACTCCTGACCTAAGGTGACCTAAGACTTGAAATTTGGTGTGAAGGTGTCAAATTGATGCCCGGGAAGGTACTGAAAATTTGGCGCCGCTGTTTTCTTGCTATTCAGGAAAAACCACAGGGGGGGCCAAAATGCCCCCCCAACGGGGCGAGGGTTAAGCTAAGTTCCTGTTCATCTTCCTGTTTGGACGAGCTTCTGAGTGTGAAAAGCAAAAGGGGGTGGCTGCACCCGAAACTGCTTTTATTCACAGACATGTTATTTATAACCACAGTTCTGACCGGGGTCGGAGTCGGAGTCGATTTTGGAAACCAGAGCCGGAGTCAGTCGGAGTCACCGAAAATCAATCGACTCCCAGACCTGGCAGGGTTGCGGAGTCGAAGTCGGAAATAGAGTCGGCTGGAGTCGATAGGTAATGTATGCCCGCAGTCGGAGTCGAAGTTGGTTTTTTGAAGCCGGAGTCGGAATCGGAGTCAGAGTCACCGAAAATCCATCGACTGCGCAGTCCTGGACTTATAACGGTACCGAAATGAGCTGTTGTTGGAGTGTCAAGTGTGTTCACACGATTTTCAGGCACCAGAATCTGCATCTTAGATCGTGAAATGGTCATTTCATGGCTTCTGGTTTCTAGTCAAGATCTGGTAGCCAGCGGTTCCTTAAAGTTCCCAGGCATTCTCTGGTTCTCTGGCGCCTCAGGTCTCTTGATTTCTCAACCTGTCGGCTGTCTCAACCGTTCACGGTTTTCTGAAAGCTTCTGAGTGGCGGCTCTTCCACCAGCTATAAGCTGGTTGTTTCGTGGTTCTTGACTTATAGCTAAACTTCTGATTCTCAGACAATTTATGATCTATCACACTTAGATCACAAGGATGCTTCTACCGGGATAAAAACAGATATCTCTGTGTATCATTCACTTTACCACCAGGGACTGGCGACTTGCATTCTGAATAACATAATAAGTCTTTATTCTTATTTCTTTACGCGCTGAAATTAACCACCCGTGTCTGGAACCATGATATGATAAAGTAAAAATATTATGCCAAAGCTAGATAAATTAGATGAGCCCCGAAATACAGGAAAATATCCAAAGAGCTTGTTTTACCCTATTTCATAACAAAACTATCTGCAAATACGAGATAGCGTCCTTAGCAACCGCCCATAGCAACGTGTTTGTCTGAACCACGCATCTGGAAAATTAAGAAGATACTGGATAAGTCGACTAGAGTTTGGTCAAAACTACACTGAATTTGATTTCGAAATGGCTTTTTTTGTGAATCAAATGTACAGTGACTTATTATTTCCTTTCAAATTTTCATACTATTAGAAAACATGCTTGTTTGCTCTATTTTTGTAAAGAAACAACTGCAAGGACGAAATATCACGACAAATTCTGGTACCTTGTTGGTAGGAAACTTCGTCCAACCTTAACCCGGTTTACATAGCAAATTTGACGAGGCTCTAGCTCGTTAATTTGGCGATAATTTCGTTGCAGTGTTCTTCAAATATTTAGAGGGGATCATATTGTAAATTGTTAAGCACAATTGGTATCTTTTGCAACATCACGGACGGAGATATAAGCTTGCAACAAACCCTATGTAAACGCGTCTCTTATGTTTTAGGGCCTTGACTCAAAGCATCTTTTTGAACACAGCACGAGAATTGCTGAGTGAATAACTGGGAAAACTGGTCGGCGCACATTGCTTTTCACATATGATTGACTTGACCAAAATTATTAGCAATTGAACTCTGTTTCCCCGACTCGCAATGAGAATCTGCCTACATTTCAAATTCCTTAGCAATACACGAGCTGTCGGGAATTATAACTGAGCTCATCAATTCAACGCATGGAGTTTAACACTATGCTACTTTATCGGTGTTTATAACACATTTTGCAAATAGTATTCATTCTTTGAATACATTGTGCGCCGGCCAGATTTCCCAGTCATTCACTCAGCAATTCTCGTGCTCTGTTCAAAAAGATGCTTTGAGTGAGGGTCGAACTTAAGAAAAACGGACTATAGTGGTGATTTTGTTTTATATGTCAAAGACCCATTATCATTTTATTTGTTGAATATTATGTTACGGAAAGTCGCCGTAACTTATGAAACTCACATCGTTTTGATAAAGTACATACATATTTACTCAGACACGGAATTATCACAGCATTGTAACCACAAACAGTTTTCACTTTGTGTTTTCTACACCTGTAGGTAGGTAAGTGTACGATGTTTGACCTAGACAAATGCCTGACATTGGTTCAATCACCTTTCCAGCACAAGTTACTACTATTCCAAGTCAACTTCGTGGTGCCATCATCAGGGTGGGCCCAAACACTATTATCCTTCCGGCCGGAGTCGGTGACAGCGAGCTGACGGAGCTGCGGAGCTCACGGGAGACTGTGGAGCGGCTGTCAGTCTCCGCCGCCGACCTCCCGCGACTGAGGGAGCAGCTGCCGGAGGGCCTCGAGCGCCTCAATGTCAGAGGTGAGATACCACGGATCATACATGTAATGTCGGTATAATGGACAATGCATATAGATATACAAATGGACAGGGAGACGGCAAATGGACGAACCGATCAAATTCAGCCAACATCTTACAGCCTTGTTTGTGTTATATGGTATTGTTAGAGTGATGCAAATTGCAATCAGGGGGATGTCGTCCCGGTTCTTCCCATGTATTATTCGCCAATCAGCTTAACACTACCGGTGACGTCACTGGAGGACCGCCAATCGGGGCCGGCGCGGCCGGCCGGCCGGCTGGGCCCGTAGAAGGCCAAACGCAGACGTTTTCAGAAAAGCGTAAGCCGTATAGATACAGTCGTGGGTGGATTTTTGCTGTGATTCGGCTCTCCAAGAGTGCGTCAGGGTACCAGGACCCGGACAAAGGTCATGGTGAACCGGCATCTGATAAAATCCGCTCACCACTTAGCAGCCGACTTCGACCCTTCACTCTCGTAAAACACAAAAGCTTGCCGGTCATCAATCCACCTGCATCTCTGCATCTGCTTACTACCTATATCGACTAGTTACTGCAGCCGTTTTGGAGCGGCTCACGGCCGATAACACACCGGACGTGCGCTAGCCGTCGGTGCTAAGCGCTAACCATTGAGTGCGCGTGGCCGACTGCCGCCCCGACGGCGCTGGCCCCCGGCACCGGCGCGGCGCTGCTGACCCATGGGGGGGGGGGGGCTGCTGCTAATTAGTTGAGCCGGAATTGGGATAGAAGCCGGTATGGGATTGGGATAGAAGCTCAGCGAGACTAAGGGATTGTGTGATGCCTTCGGTAGGCCCCTCAAAATCACCTGTGTAGGGCCCTCAGGGCCGCCGGTTATGAAGCCTTTGGAGGCACTGGTGTGGGCCCTCACAGGTACCGGAGTGAGGCTCTCAGATGCATTGGTGCGGGGTCCCCAGAGGTGCCACTGTGGGCCCTCAGAGGCGCCGGTGAGGGTCCTCACAGTTGCCGTTGTTGGCCCTCAGAGTCACTGCAGTGTGGGGTTGTCACAGTCGGGTGCGGGACCCTTAGAGCTGCTGGCTCGAACCCTTTACAGGCCGACAGGGGCTCTCAAGAGGTCTGCGGTGCCTTCGGGAGCCCTGTGGAGTCCTTAGAGACCAGCAAGATACATTCAAACGCCAGTGGGGCCCTCAGAGTCGTCGGTGTGGGGCCTTCAAAAGTCACCGGTGAGTGGCCGTCCGATGCGCAGGTCCCGTCTGAGGCCGTCAGAGGCTCCGGCGTTGAGCCCCCAGAGCCGCCGATAAGACTGGTTTCGGGACCTCATTCAAGGGTGCCGGTCGCACTCAGAGGTGGCAGTGTGGAGCCCTCAGCTAGGCACCGGTGTGAGGCCTTCACAGCCGCCGGTGAGGGCCCTCGCAGGCGCCGTTGTGGGGGCCTTCAACCATTGGTTTAGGGGGTCATCGCAGGCGTTTGTGGAACCCTTAGAGCTGCTGGTCCCTGATAGGCCGGTAAGGGCCCTCAGAGGCCGGCAAGTAGCCCTCAGAGGTCGCCAATAGGCCCTGAGAAGCCGGCAAGGGGCCCTCAAAGGCCGACAAGGGACACTGAAAAGCAGGTGTGGGGCTCTTATGGATAGAAGTGTGGCTCTTCGGAGCACATAAGGTGTTCTTCAGAGCCCTGTGGGGCCCTTCTGAGTCGAAAGATGCTAGCGTGGACCCTCAGCCGCCAATTGGCGTCGCAAGGCCCCTTGGGCCCGAGAGGCCCCCTGATCCGATGGGGGCACGTGCTCCCTGCTTCCCCCCCCCCCCCCGATGCAGATAGAGAATGCAATCGGCGGTGCAGGCACAACAATTGCAATCGTTCCTTCTCCCGTCGCGGGGAGCATTCATTCTGGCCAGGGTTCATAATGTCCAGGGTACGTTATGCCCAGTGTCGAAATGGCCAGTGCCTTAAATGGGCCAGAGTTCATAATGTCCAGGGATTGCATGGTCCAAATGCGGCCAACTGGCTGCAGATAGGGTATATTCAAAGGGGCCAGGGTTCATAATGTCCAGGGCACGATGTGTCCAGTGTTCGAAATGGCCAGGGTTCATAATGTCCAGGACACGATGTGTCCAGTGTTCGAAATGGCCAGGATTCATAATGTCCAGGGCACGATGTGTCCAGTGTTCAAAATGGCCAGAGTTCATAATGTCCAGGGCACGATGTGTCCAGTGTTCAAAATGGCCAGTGCCTTGAATGGGCCAGAGTTCATAGTGTCCAGGGATTACATAGTCACTGAAAGTGACGTCATTATGTAAAAAACACGGAACCAGCTCAATGCGAAGCAGTGCAGTGCCGAAGGCAATGCCTTAGGAGAGATTACAGGCAATAGTAAATCAAATATTTTTAGGTTAAGTGGTTATGTATCTGGCTTCAGGCCGAAGGCCTGAAGCCTGATGCATAACCACTTAACCTAAAAATATTTGATTTACTATTGCTTGCAATCTATTCATGCGAGAAATTATTTCCTTATCCCCGGCAGGCAAACATCATTACCTTAGGTTAGGTTAGGTTAGGTAAGGTTAGGTTAGGTTAGGTTAGGTTAGGTTATTTTAGGTTAGGTTAGGATAGGTTAGGGTTGGTTGGGTTGGGTGGACTATGTAATCCCTGGACACTATGAACTCTGGCCCATTCAAGGCACTGGCCATTTTGAACACTGGACATATCGTGCCCTGGACATTATGAACCCTGGCCATTTCGAACACTGGACACATCGTGCCCTGGACATTATGAACCCTGGCCATTTCGAGCACTGGACACATCGTGCCCTGGACATTATGAACCCTGGCCTCTTTTAATTTACCATATCTGCAGCCAGTTGGCCACATTTGGACCATGTAATCCCTGGACAATATGAACACTGGCCAATTCAAGGCACTGGCCATTTCGAGCACTGGACACATCATGCCCTGGACATTATGAACCCTGGCCTAAATAATACGCACCCCCTCGCTCCCGTCGCGAGGTCGCCCATCCGACCCATATCCCATGATTGTCAACCCTGGGGCTCGGGTCGGCAATGTACCGGCAAGGAAATCAGCTTTGGTTGAGTAAAAAAGTTATTAAGAGTCATTAGTTGTCATTACGTTCACTAATAACAACTATACGGTTCCAAATGTACCCGACGTACAGCTTGGAGCCGGGCGCCGCCCGGTCTCCACCAGTGACGTCACGCTAATGCTTAGCGACCGGTCCATTGGAAATCGCGGGATGATTCTACCTCTCTTATACGGCCTTGATTGCAATGCATGCATTTGCATATAGTGTGAGCATCAAGTGCATGTATGAAATATTATTGTAGCAATTATTGTAATTTGAAATGGTTTCATTGCAACCACTGCGAACCATATATTTATGTAGTCTACCAACCTGATCCGTTACTATACCATGACTGGCTGCCCAGTGCCTAAGCCAATGTGCCTTGCAAAAATCGTAATACTTATGTTGCACATATTTGAATATTTACGTATGTATGCTGTTGGTAAAAATATCGTTGTCCAGCCGCTCGGCTATGTCAGTGCTGGCTGTGTCAGTGTCTGACACTCTGGTGTCAGTGGTGCAGCGGGGAGCTGGCGGAAGCTCTGACCGACTGCAGTCAGCTGACACAGCTCTGTCCGACAGGGCCGGAGGTGACGGAGCCGAGGTGGCCGCTATGGAACCCGTTGGGTCGTCTATCAGTGTCGCTCCAGGGGGTGACTGCCGACACCATCAGTCACCTGGCTGACCTGGGACGGACGGTCACAGGACTGGAGATATACGGTGAGCAGCGGCAGCACGGACAGGCCGATGATATACGAGATCAGCGAATGGCGGACACCGAGTAACGGTGTGCCGTTGTCGGACCTCGTGGAGACAGGTGTGATACATAACCAATGTGCTTTGTGAAATAATGAAGCCAACTGAGCTCCAAAATGGAGGACTGTTCACTCAGTGACATATTCGTTCAGTGTTAGTTGATCATACTCATAACATTTGTGTTGCACTGTTCAATGAAGTTCAATGCATTTGCTTAACTGATTGCATATTATCATATATTTGCACTGTTTTACCATTGTCTACTGTGTCCATAAAACCATGTGAGTTATTAGGTGTTTTTTCGTTTTGTCATATATCGACATGTATTACAGTTAACTGATCCTGTCTGTATGTGTGTCTGTGTGTTTTCCAGACTGTCCTGATCTCACGGCCAGCAGCCTGGAGCCCCTCACAAGGTGCCGTGGGCTGGAGCGCCTATCAGTCACCGCCGCCGACCTTCCGCGACTGAGGGGACAGCTGCCGGAGGGTCTCAGGTGCCTCAATGTCAGAGGTGATATACCGCAGATCACACATGTAATGCCGGTATATGCAAATGAACAGGGGAGACGGCAAATGGACGAACTGATCAGCCTCAACTAGCAAGTTTCATCGTTAATCGTGTATATTACTCGTCTCGTATTGTGGTGAGAGGGGGAAGGGGTTCAATGGATGCCCTTCGATAGTGTCCATGCTTGTGGCATATGCGTGGAATATTAGTGTAACGTCACGGGGTGATTTAAAAGTTGAGGTAGGTACTAGCGATAGTTGCATTATTACAAGCAGCAAATTTCCGAACAAACGTATTGAGTATTAGTGCGGATTCGGCATCCGGAAAATCAGGGATAATTTTCCTGGATCAACGGGATCATTCGGTGTTTTAGGCTGACACCGTGCACAACGCACATGCCAATGAGTAAAAGAGCCATTACTGAAGCAAAAGCAATATACCTAAAAATATGACTTATTGCATCGATAGTCCTTGCAATACCAAATTATTACCGGTGATCCCGGATAATTATCCCTCATTTTCCGGATGTCGAATGCACGCCTGATCGACAACTGACACTGACTGACTTAGCTCGCTGACGACGAGTCTGAGCGGACTGACGAGACTGACTGGCCGCGGCCCTGGCGCGGCGGTTATACAGAGTATAGGTGGCGCCACGATCGAAGGCGGCCAGCAGGGAATGTTGTTACGATTAGAGAGCAAGTATTTCAATGGGGAATGATTAACTATTAGATAGGTATAGTGCAACCAATGAGAGTAGCATAAGTAGTTTCATATACTACTGTATTACGCATATACTTATCGCATATACGTATTATGTTCATATTCACATTCTACATATGACTGCTGCTGCTAAAAAATTGTTGTGCGGCCGCTCGTCTGTTTCAATGCTGACTATGTGAGTGTCTAACACTCTGGTGTCAGTGGTGCAGCGGGGAGCTGGCGGCAGCTCTGTCCGACTGCAGTCAGCTGACACAGCTCTGTCCGACAGGGCCGGAGGTGACGGAGCCGAGGTGGCCGGAATGGGACGAGGATGATGGTCTGTCAGTGTCGCTCCAGGGGGTGGCTGCCGACACCATCAGTCACCTGGCTGACCTGGGACGGACGGTCACAGTACTGGAGATATACGGTGAGCAGCGGCAGCACGGACAGGCCGCTGATATACGAGCTCAGCGAATGGCGGCCACCGAGTAACGGTGTTCCGTTGTCGGACCTTATGGAGACAGGTGTGATACATAGCCAATGTGCTTTGCGAAATAATGAAGCCAATCGAGCTCCAAAATGGAGGACTGTTCACTCAGTGACATATTCGTTCAGAGTTAGTTGATCATACTCATAACAATTGTGTTGCACTGTTCAATGAAGTTTAATGCATTTGCTTAACATTGCATATATCATATAATAGCACTGTTTTACCATTGTCTACTGTGTCCATAAAACCATGTGAATTATTAGTCCCATAGCTCAGTTGGTAGAGCGCTGGACTCCCGGTAGTGAGAGCCCGGGTTCGAGTCGCTCCGGCGCTCGATATTTGAAACTCCTGACGGGGATGGTCTGTGGTTGGTGGGAGCAGCCGCAGCCAGTTGAAGTCAGTTGAGTGGGACAGGCCGTGTCCGGCTTTGAAGGGCATGCTAAACTTTGGCATCTAAATTCTCCCGTTACCCGAAATTGCGCGATCGGACGGTAGGGGTCGGGGTCTACGCAACAAGCTCTGCTTAGCGTAGGCTTCGGCTCTGTCAATCCGTCCATTCAAACATTCGACCTAAATTTATAAAAAAAATTAGGTGTTTTTTCGTTTTATCATATATCGACATGTATTACAGCTAACTGTTCCTGTCTGTATGTGTGTCTGTGTGTTTTCCAGATTGTACTGATCACACGGCCGGCAGCCTGGAGCCCCTCACCAGGTGCCCTGAGCTGCGATGCCTATCAGTCACCGCCGCCGACCTCCCGCGACTGAGGGGGCAGCTGCCGGAGGGCCTCAGACTCCTCAATGTCAGAGGTGATATACCTCAGATCACACATTTAACCCGCGCACCGACGGGGGTCTGCGCCAACTTAGTACCGACGGGGGGGGGGGGCGGATGACCGCCCCCCCCCTGAGATCTCGAGAACGAAGCAAGATAGCGACAAGCGGTAAACGGCATCGGATACGCACGGTCAAGATCTACAATTTTTACTAAGGTCATTTTCAGGTCAGGTCAAAGATGACGTCACAGGGGTCGAAAAAGTCAAAATGGCGGCGCTAAATATGGAGAGAGTTTTTCTCGAATAACTTTCGAATTAGTCAAGATAAGAACAAACTAAGGGCATCATCGTGATCCTCTCGTCAATCCGCATCGAATGATATATATGTTGACCTCGAAAGGTCAAGGTCAAAGGTTGACCTCAGGTCACGTGACCTCGAGGTCATCATGTATATCATTCGATGCGTCTTGACGAGCTGAACACAATGAGACCATCCACGCGTCTGTATCTTGTTCCTGTACGGAGTTATTGGCCAAAAACCTTTGGTGACCTTTGATGACGTCACATGACCTCACAGCTGCCCAACAGCAAAACAGACCTCAAGGTAGTGAAGGTTGATCGTATATGAAGTCATGTATGGTATATGGGGCCATTCCGACCCGTTTTAGTGGTAAAAACAGGGAGTTGATTTTTCCCCCATTGACTTATAATGGGGAGGTCGCGAAATTGACCTGACCTTAGGTCACCGATATCAAAATTCCGAGATATACAAATTGTAGCTACTAATGACCTAATAACATCCTGCGACTTTCAAAGGCCTCCGACATCTACTGTAGCTCTGGCACGGTGACAAAGTTGCAAAAAAGTGACTTGAGGTTGGGTCAATCAAAGTGACCTGGTGACCTGACCTTGAAAGGTAGGAGGTTCAAACTTGCACACCATGTGTAAAATTGATAAGGGAATAGTCATACTAAATTTCGCGGCGCTACGCGCCGCGGTTTTCCCGCTATTTGCGAAAAACCTCAGGGGGGGCGGATATCCGCCCCCCCCCCCCGTCGGTGCGCGGGTTAATGCCGGTATATGCAAATGAACAGGGGAGATGGCAAATGGACGAACTGATCAGCCTCAACTAGCAAGTTTCATCGTTAATCGTGTATATTACTCGTCTCGTATTGTGGTGAGAGGGGGAAGGGGTTCAATGCATGCCTTCGATAGTGTTCATGCTTGTGGCATATGCGTGGAATATTAGTGTAACGTCACGGGGTGATTTAAAAGTTGAGGTGTACTAGCGATAGTTGCATTGTCACAAGCAGCAAATTTCCGAACAAAAGTAATTAGTCGGGATCGACAACTGACACTGACTGACTATATAGAGAGCTCGCTGACGACAAGTCTGAGCAGACTGACGAGACTGACTGGCCGCGGCCCTGGCGCGGCGGTTATACAGAGCATTAGCGTCGCCACGGGGGGGCAAGCGGGGCAGCTTGCCCCCCCAACCTCGGACCGGGCACCCCCTGAGATCGATACAGATCCGATGAGATTTTGGAGTCGGGAAAAAATGGGGGTACCTTTCTGAGAATGTCTGTGAGGTCAGACTCGGTTGAAGCGTGCAGTTCAAACCAGAGTCTGACTCGCAGTCGCCAAAATCTTCAAGACTCCGAGTCCAGACTCGGAAATGTCAATGCTGTGATTCATTCCTTGTTCCTAGTTCGTTCTTTATTACATTTTACAGCTGATTTTCATAAGTTTTGGAGTGCTGACACAATTTTCGTTCAAAGCGTGAAACGAAATCTTCGGGGCCTTTCTTAACTCTCGTCAAATGTCTGCGACAGGCTCAAGTACCGTACAAGTGTCGCAGCGCTCATGAGCTTGCTTTAAACAAAGGCTCCTAAGGAGCTCCACTGAGCCCTAAAGAAGCTTTCAGAGGGCCCAAACCGGCCTCTGAAAGTCCCACTGGTGTCCATGTTCTCTGAGGGCCCATACAGTGATCTTTGAGCCTTCGAACACTTCTGAGAACCTTAACTGGCCTCTGATAGTTCAGCCAAACTTTTGAGGCGACAGACTTTGCTAACCCCAAGCCGGCATCTGAGGGGTCACAGCTCACGTGTCCCTCTCAGGTCCGCAGCACATGTTTATTATATCCCTACGTAGGGTCCTTAAGGATTTGACACAGACCCCGAGGGTTCACACTGTTATCTGAGGGCTCCAGGCTCACCCTGGGCCTAGTCTCTTAGCGCCCGCCGCCCACACTGGCTTCTGAGGGTCCCACCTTGGGCTCAGAAAGCCCTAAAGCACCACGTACACGTAAATATTTGAGGTGACCCACGCCGATCTCCGGGATCCTAAGCATGCTTCTGAGAGTCAGCACTGACCCTGAGTGGCCTGAAATGGCCTGGAAGTCCCAAACCTATCTCTAAGGGATCCCTTGCCGCTATGCCGTGCGTAACTTTTGGTTCCGTTAACAGTTTTTGTTCGCGTTTGCAGCGCTTCCCTTCACACGAAAAACGAGAAACTTTTGCTCACACTCGAGTGAACAAAACACTTCCTCTCACTGGAGCAAAGATGAATTACTTCACTCACTCTCCGCCGAATGCCCAACTTAGCTACAATCGGCGGCTGGGATAAGTCCTATGCATTTCACGTAAAACCTCTGCATGCATGCGTGAATGGAGGTTTTAGCAGGGTGATCCGATTAAATGGAGCGTTTTTCACCTTTTTCTGGGTAATGATCATGAGCGTCGAGCGTCTGCACAGGGGCCCTCTGCAGTGCGTCGGCAATCGCAGCCACTATATAGTATAATTCTACCAGTCGTTTTTGTCATGAAATTTCAAAATTTCGAATTTTTCTGTAAAAAATTGCATGTCAGCTAGAAGGAAACCTTTGTCACCATCTGATTCCTCGCACCATTGCGCGTCGAATGATATGTAAAACGAGTGAGTAAAGACTGGGGAAAGGCAAGTTTTAACACAAAAGTTGATTTTGCCCCCCCAACCGAAAATCTCTGGTGACGCCTATGATACAGAGTATAGGTGGCGCCACGATCGAAGGCGGCCAGCAGGGAATGCATGGGCATTGTTACAATTAGTGAGCACTTGCGCAGTTATTTCCAGTGAGGGATGATTATAGACATAGTGCAACCAATAAGAGCAGTATAAGTAGTTTCATAGACTACTGTATTATGCATATACTTATCGCATATACATATTATGTTCATATTCACATTCTACATATGACTGTTGCTGCTAACAAATTGCTGTGCGGGCGCTCGGCTGTGTCAGTGCTGGCTGTGTCAGTGTCTGACACTCTGGTGTCAGTGGTGCAGCGGGGAGCTGGCGGCAGCTCTGTCCGACTGCAGTCAGCTGACACAGCTGTGTCCGACAGGGCCGCGGAGGTGACGGAGCCGAGGCAGGGCCTCGGCTAAGGAATTTTGACTGGTGGGCCACTTGGGCAGCGACATGGACTGACCTTCGTAGCCATAGCCCCCCCTCCCAATTTTCGATTTCTCCCCAGATTTCGGCCACTTTATTCTGCAAAAAAACGTCAGGATGGCATTCAAAAAATGTACAAAAAAAAAACGGGGCTCGACCCCCCCCCCCCCCCCCCGACTCTTAAGAGAGAGAAAGAGGAGAGAGTAGGGACCCACAACCCTCTCAGTGGTGATACTCCCGCGGTGCACATAAAATCGCACAAGCACGGAATATATAGTCTACGACATATCGTAGTACATATGGACATATCGACATGTCGTAGACTATATATTCCGTGGCACAAGTATGCACACAATATTGACGCAGATTATAAAACTTTAGACGATAACTTACGGCCGTGAGTGGATCGCTCGCCGACTTGTCGGAGATTCGGAAGCGGTCGGACGGGATCGGGCGTTGTTGGGTGGATCGGGAGGAATTGTGAATAGCACGAGTGCAACTTTATATATAAAGTGGGTTGTAGCAGGAACCCCAAAAGGGGGCTGTAGCAGCAACCCCAACATCTCTGAAAATGATCATTAAGCCTATTGGTGTCGCATGGAAAATAATAGACTCAAAAGCCCAAGCGCACTGCGCAACCCTGATATTTTCTTTAAAAAAACTAAGTTATGTACACGTTCACTTCTGGTGAACAGTGTCCCAAACTTCAGATTTCTCTTGGGTGTCTGAGTGGAAAATTCGAGCCACCCAAAATGTGAGAGTGGAAAATTATCCATTCTTATTCTTGAGTGTCATCTTCAGCCCAAATGAAAAATTTTTGGTACGCTTCGTCCAACTGGTCAGATGTGTGACTGCAAGCATCATACCGGTCGTAAAGACGCATAATATCGCTTGCAGACTTCAATCGGCTGGAAGTCGCCGACACTACCTCTAGTTTGACTCTGGCTTATATCGTGTCTATCGGCGAGCCGTCTGAGATCGCTCGCAGGCTTATCCCCGACCGTCTAAACTGGTCTGTTCTTTATTCGTAGTTTTTCTTGTAACCGACTGGTCTGCGGCAGATGCTTATGTGACTGCAACCACTCGATCGATCGGAAAGCTTGCAAGAACTCTCGCAGACCTCGATCGGCTGGAAGCCGCCGACACTATCTGTAATTGACAGAGGCAGACGTCTTTCGCGATTATTGCATAAAATTTAAAGCCTCGGTCACACTTCACCGGATTGGACCAACGTACGAGAAACGGACGAGAACTGTCAGCGTCCGGTGATGTCCGTTTGTTTCCGTTGGACGTCCGTTTGTCATCCGTTAATATCTGTTCCATGTCCGGTGGTGTCCGGTTGAGCACATCGGACACCACCGGACATGGAACGGATATGAACGGATGAGAAACGGACGTCCAACGGAAACGAACGGACATCCCCCGGACATCACCGGACGCCGTCCGTTTCTCGTCCATTGGTCCAATCCGGTGAAGTGTGACCGAGGCTTAGTCCACTTAGTCCACTATAGTTCACTTTTTACCCCAAGAGGATATTGCAAACAATAGGTTGAATTTTTTCACAAGAATATGTATCACCGATGGGTACTTTACAACCTGAAAATGTACGATAGGATCTGCTAATTCAATTTGAAATGTGAAAAATGTGGAAACTTAGATTTTTCGGAAAATTACTGGTGGGCCAAATCTTTGAGGCTGGTGGGCCATTTCGGGTCACTGGTGGGCCATTTGGCCCACCAGTTAACATGTTAGCCGAGGCCCTGAGCCGAGGTGGCCGGGAGAGTCCCCGTGGGGCGGTCTGTCAGTGTCGCTCCAGGGGGTGGCTGCCGACACCATCAGTCACCTGGCTAACCTGGGACGGACGGTCAACCGACTGGAGATATACGGTGAGCAGCGGCAGCACGGACAGGCCGTTGATATACGAGCTCAGCGAATGGCAGACACCGAGTAACGGTGTGCCGTTGTCGGACCTCGTGGAGACAGGTGTGATACATAGCCAATGTGCCTTGTGAAATAATGAAGCCAACTGAGCTCAAAAATGGAGGAAGACTGTACAATCAGTGACATATTCGCTCATAGTTAGTTGAACTACATATTTCGATTGTAATACAATGTGCAATGCACTTCAATGCATTGGCTGAACTGATTGCATATCCATAGATAACATGAACATTCATGCTATCATGTTCATTTATTCATGTTATCACATTCATTCATGTTTATATGGCATATCATATAGTACCACTGTTATACCATGGCTTACGGTGTCCATAAAACCGCATGCGAATTCATAGCTGTTTCGTTTTTTTTTCATATATCTCCATGTATTGCAGTCCGCTGATCCTGTCTGTATATGTGTCTGTGTGTTTTCCAGACTCTCCTGATCTCACGGCCGGCAGCCTGGAGCCACTCACCAGGTGCCCTAGGCTGCACATTCTCACCCTGTCCGGCGGCGTCCCTGACGCCGTGAGCCTGGAGCCCCTCACCAGGTGCCCTGAGCTGCGGTGGCTGTCAGTCACCCCCGCCGACCTCCCGCGACTGAGGGGGCAGCTGCCGAAGTGCCTCTGGCGCCTCAATGTCAGAGGTGAGATACCACGGATCATACATGTAATGCTGGTATATGCAAATGGTCAGCGAAGACGGCATATGGACGAACCAATCAGCATCAACTAGCAAGTTTCATCGTTAATCGTGTATATTACTCGCATTGTGGTGAGAGGGGGAAGGGGTTCAATGCATGCCTTCGATAGTGTTCAACCTTGTGGCATATGCGTGGAATATTAGTGTAACGTCACGGGGTGATTTAAAAGTTGAGGTACTAGCGATAGTTGCATTGTCACAAGCAGCAAATCTCCGAACAACCGTATTGAGTATTAATCGACGACTGACACTGACTGACTACATAGATAGCTCGCTGACGACGAGTCTGAGCAGACTGACGAGACTGACTGGCCCCGACTGGCCGCGGCCCTGGCGGGGCGGTTATACAGAGTATAGGTGGCGCCACGATCGAAGGCGGCCAGCACGGAAATGCAGGCATTGCTACAATTAGTGAACACGTATTCCAATGAGGAATGATTATAGACATAGTGCAACCAATGAGAGTAGTAAAAGTAGTTTCATAGACTATTGTATTACGCATATACTTATCGCATTCAGGGCCTCGGCTAAGGAATTTTGACTACTGGGGCAAATGGTCACAATGCACACTGCCTGGGGGTGTTTGAACACCCGTGCGGTGTTCGCCGATATCTCAAAAAACGGCGGCGCTCCGCGCCGCCGTTTTTTAGAATTGATAGACCTGATAAGGTGCGCCGCCGTGGCGCACCTTATCAGGTCTATCAATTCTACACATGTTGTAAAACTTTCAGCAGCCTCAATTACTCGCAACATTCCAATGTTCTGTCGTTTTTTTGTGTAAAACTTTCAGACCAAGGACATTCAAGGTCAGGTCACCGATGAAAATATGCTTTCAGCTTGACGATACGGATCCACTGAGATGCAACATGACAATATCCGGTCAGATCATGACTTTGACCTGAGGTCAAATTTCCAAGTTGACCTTTCAAGGTCAAATTATAGTTCATTCGATGCGTCTTGACAAGAGGAACACGATGTCGGTAAAAGAAAACTCGTGCAAGGCTTGAGTATAATTTTATTGCAGAAAGACTTCTCGAAAAAAAATATTTTATTTGGCAGTGTTTGCTCCCTGCAGGCAAAACCGTTGACCTTAGGTCAAAGTTGAGAAAATAACCAGAAAGAACGCTAATATAGCTACTAAATGCGCTTCTCCGCGGCGCTGTAGCTCTATTGGTTCCCGAGTTATGCGTCGGCAACTTGCAAATTGTCGATATTCGACCTGAAAATCGGCGAAATTTGGCTTTCAATGAACCCAATGACCTGAACTTTGACCTGACCAAAAAGAGGTCGAAGTAATTTCATTATTTTTGACGCTCTTTCGAACGAAGGGCAGCTTATGGATTATCCCTCGCCCGTATTGGTGTTTTTTTTTTCAGCCGCGAGAGTATCGGGGGGGGGGGGGGTCCGTTGGACTCCCCCCTTGCCGTTTCGCCCCTGATCGAGCTAGAGCTTCGCGGAGAAATAACGAGCGTGTTGCCCGTGACGAGACGAAGCCGATGATAACCAGCTTTAGGGACCTAGGTCCAGGTGAGGTCAATTACCCAAGGTCGGGAAAATCGGGACCTGTTGGAGTGTCGTAAAGGGTGGTCGTTATGAGGTTTTTCGAAGTGCTGATCACGAATATAATCAGTGGCGGATCCTGGGGGGTCCACGGGGTCATGACCCCCCCCCCAAGGGTCTGAGAGGGTCATTTGACCCCCCCCCCAAAAGCCGAAGACCTAAATGCGTTATAGAAGCCGTCTTGTATGCTCAAAATCTCCTGTCAAACACTTCTGAGCTAATACTTTTGTTTTTCTGGATCGTGTTGCGTGAAAAGGCGTATTGAAAGCCAGAATCTTACTCGTTTTTGTCTCAACCGTGCGAGCACCAGGGGATGATCCAGGAAAACTCCAAGGGGATGCAGTCATGAATTTAATTCGTGGTGCCCCTACCTATACCCAAAATTAAAAAATCAACGGAATTCGGCCACTTAATTTTGGTGATGTCCCGTTTTCATTATTTTTTTATTGTTTATTTTATTTTTAGTGCCCCTGGGCCCTGGCAGGCCTGTGGTGCCCCTGGCGGGCCTGTGGTGCCCCTGCTAGGCCGCTGGGGCCCCTGGGCCCTGACAGGACTGTGGTGCCCCTAACAAGCCTAAAGTGCCTCCGCTCCGACAGGCCCGTGCCCTGTGGTGCCCCTGACAGGCCCATGGTGCCCCTGCGAGGCCGGTGGTGCCCCTGGCAGGCCTCTCCCTAGTAAAAAAGTCCTGTAGGACTGCATTGAAGTCCTTGAACTCCTACAGGATCCTGTAGGATTTAAGGATTTCTCTGAAGGATTGAAGAATCCTATAGGATTTTCATGAAGGACATTTGAATCCCACACCGATGTCCTACAGGATCCTCTAAGATGAAGTCGTACATGATTTTATTCCTACAGGATCCTGTAGGATTTCTCCTGTATGACCCAATCCTGTAGGATTTTGTCCAGCAGGATTCTATAGGTTTCTGTCGTTTATGATCCTGTAGGATACTGAGTGCAGAATCCTATAGGTACGACTCATGGTCCTGCAGGACACTGTTCGACTTTCCTTCACGGTTCGTCGGAAGGTCATCTCAAGCTCAAAAGAAACGATGTATACCATTCGAAAGCTGACGGTGAGCTGAATCCAAAAATGTAATTTTTATCAAAATCGATCGATGGCCTTTTTTGAAAATTGCGTTTTTGTAAAAACTGTACATATAATCTTTTATTCAACGGGCTGTCCCGGACATTCTTGAAAACATAAACATATATTTTTGAGTTCCAGTGAAAGCTGAATGCCAAAAGAACAATATTTAGCGAAGCAATATTTCCAAACATTAATATCCGTCTCCCACAGCCGACAATAAGGCGCAATCACACAGCTCAGTGTCACGATGGACCTAAGTCAGCCACACAGAAGCGTGAAATGACCCTTATCGACTCGCAGGCCCGGCACTCTCGGCCCACCTGACCGGCCACGGAAAGAACGTTCGGCTCTCGTTCTACTATACAAATGTCATATTTGTCAGTTTAACTATCCACATCACTATTAACCCTCGCCCTGGCAGGGGGGGGTCGATGCGACCCCCCCCTAAGGTTTTTCGAAGATAGCGTAAAAACGGCGGCGCGCAGCGCCGCCAAATTTGGCACAGCCTATGGGGCAACCTTTTTACATATGACCTGAAAATTTCAGGTCCGGGTGACCTTGGGTCAGGTCACCAGGTCAGAAAAACCGGTACAAGGTCATGGTCAAATTTCAATTTTCTTTTTGCACCTGTCCAACTCACAGTTTTCGACTGATTTCCTTCAAACTTTCAGGATGTGCTAAGTTCACCGAGTTGTATAACATATAGTCCGGTTTTTATTAGGTCACTGACCTGAGGTCAGTTAGAGGTCATTACGTCGTAATGTTAAGCCTATGGGAAAATACTAAATTCGGAAAATACTGGAGATATTCGCTTCGTTTGATCTTTTTTGTGCTTTGAAACCACGGTACTTAACAGCAGGTCACTTGGTGCTTCTTTGTTTGGTGTACTTATCCATGGGTCAGGTCAAATGAGGTCAACTGAGGTCAAATGACGTTTTTGCCAATAACTTGGCACATAATGATGCTAGAGCTTAAAAAATGGTGTCATTGTGTTCCTGGTGATCAGCCGAATCAAATGATATGCGATATGATGCAATTTGGTTAACTTAAACTTAACTTATTAAGTTAAGTTTACTTAAAATTTAAGAAAAACTTTAAGTACACTTAAGCAAGCTAAAAAGTATATCATTCGACGCGCCTTGACGTGCTGAGTTCACTGGTGCTTTTCTTTTTGCTCTATCTTAGTTAGATCAAAAGTTATAAGCGAGAAACTTTTGACCTGTTTTTAGCGAAATTTTTACATTTATACCCCCCAAAACCCCCCTAAATATTGACCTAGAGCAACCAAATTTGCACAGGGGCGAGAACTCCGGGGGGCCCACCTACCTACCAAATTTGGTGTTTCTAGGTGCCATAGGAGCCAATCGCGCGGGGGGGGGTCGCATCGACCCCCCCCCCCCTGCCAGGCCGTGTTATGAAAAATGCCCTGCCAGGGCGAGGGTTAAAGTTATTCAGGATACCTGTGAAGAAAATTTATTGTTCTGTCGTCTTCACATCATGCATTAATTTGCATTTGTTCATGGCCCTGTTCATGAAGTCTGCGGCCGCTGCGGCCGGCCGCAGGCTCTAAGCTCCGCCCATTTTTGAAACGTCATCACTCACTCGGCCGCAGCAGCGTTCCATGAACAGCGTCTGCTGCCGAAATAGTTTCCGACAATTGTTTGCAACTGAAGCACACCGGTAGATAATTTGTTTACAAAATCGTCTCCATGACAACACGGCCTGCGCCTATTTGACTTCAGTGCGCCAAGTTCAGTGCAATTAGTTTTCTTGAGGCTCGGCGGTCGCTGGATTGCGGCCGCAGAGATCGCAGCGGCCGCAGCAAGATGACGTCATACATTCGTCATACTACATGAGCCCCGCCCTTTTTTGTGACGTAACAACCCGGCTGGCCGCAGCGACCGCAGCGGCCGCAGCGACCGCCGGGGTTCATGAACAGGGCCCATGTCTACTTTACTCAATTGAGCTTGGTATCATGCCCATATAAGGAAAATTGGCCGCGATGAAATGTCAGAGGTTGCACCGGCCTCAGCTCGGGTGGAGTGGGGGTAGCGCCCAGTGGGGCAGGGTAACATTTGACCGGTCGCACGGCCGAGCAGCTGTCACCAGTACAGCCTCTGACAGTGAAACCCTGCTCACTTCCCCTGCGCGGGCACTGAGCGCAGCTGGATGAAACAAAACATGTATAAGAAAAATGTAAATTAAAGCATGTTCTAAATCAAGCAGATCAATGAATTTTCTTCACAGGTATCCTGAATAACTTCAATAGCGATGTGGACAGTGAAACTGAAAAATAT